GGCTAACAAGGTGCTCGCAGGGGGCAAACGGGGCAGAAATCACTGGGAGGGATGAGCACGAACCTCCAAGCATCTGCAGCTTCACAGCTCAATCAACAAGAAAACAGTGAGAGCGGCGTGAAGCTGTCTGCTCACACTGATGCCTGGATGAGTCAGTTTGTGAGTCTGTCAGACTGTGTGCGATTACTGTGTCGCAGGGATCATAACGTGCAAGAACAAGATAAAAAGCTGCTGCATTTATTACAGTATATGTATGCAATAAGAGCGGCTCATGTGCTGATTTACTGCACCATTACCTCCTAAACGTCAGCTTTTCAGGAACTGAGCAGCTCTTTGTTTATCTCAGTTAATCCACGAGAGTCTGAACACCGTTTATGACTCCGAAATTACATCTTCAATGTGATTTTGCTTTGCTGCATTTTAGGAAGCCAGAGGCTCCAAACCCAAAAGATGAATTTTGAGTATCTTAAGGGTAAATACACCACAGATCAGTCCACAAACTGAATAATCTGAGTCTGTGCTTCCCTGTTTGACAGAAATCATTATCATTTAATCGTTATTTTGTAGTTAACAAAAATGATTTTTATTTGCTGCCGACTCAACTCTTCCTCAATACAGGAAAAACCTAAAATACTTCCAATGAACAGTCGTAAAAAACTTGACTTTTAGAAAACTAGCCACACATACAACCCACCCCCTCTCTCACCCCAACCAGTCAAGGCAGATGGCCACCTTCCCTGAGCCTGGTTCTGGAGTTTTGTTTTGGTTTTTTGACTCCACCATCACCGACTGCCCACTTTGGATTGCTGAGTTCTGTGTTTTTTTATTTAAAATTCATAAAGTCTTTACCTCACTATGTGTTGTGCTACGAGATGACATACTGTATGTTGTGAACTGGCGCAATAGAAATAAAATTAAATTGAATTGTTGAAAATGACTGAAAGTAGTCAAGTATCACAGTTTCTACTTTGTGAAGAGGCAAAAACTGTCACCTTTCTACCGGCACAATTGGATTTCATGTCCACTTATTTGTGTCAGAAATTGTGTTTTCACAAGAATAAACCTGGTTTCATGTTGGACTCAGTTATAGACGAGTTTGGGACTTGATTTTGATCTAGTTTTGAGCTGGTTTTAGACTTTTGTAGGACTGGTTTTCAACTTGATATTGGACTATTTTGGACAAGATTTAAACTTGGTTTTGGATTCCGTTTTAGACTGGTTTTGGACTCTGTTTTGGGCTGGTTTTGAACTTGATTTTAGATGATTTTGTACTGGATTTAAACTACATTTTGGGCTTGGTTTTAGTATGGTTCTAGACTGGTTTTGGACCTGGTTTAGAACTTGGTTTTGGACCTGGTTTTAGACTGTTTTGGACTGGATTTGGACGTGGTTTTCAACTCACTTTTTGACTGGTTTCTGACTCGGTTTTGGACTAGTTTGGACTTGCTTTTGAGCTGTTTGGGCAGCAGGTCTCACTTAGCTACTGTCTAAGTCTGTTACTTTTAGCTGTGCTCTGTCCCTGCACAAAAGTGATCAAATTCATTAAATAATCAGAATAATGACTGATTAAAAAAAAAAAAAAAATAGTGGTTTCTGGCAGAACTTTACTTTTTGGAGGAAAGCTGTGAGTGTTGTAAAACAGGGAAGAAAAGCAGGAATATTTTAATGATTTAAAAATCCTCCATTTATTAGGTTTTTACTGATCATAACAAACCTCAAGGTTACTGAGTTGGGAAGTAAAGACACAGCGAAGCCACACCTGCTGCCCTCCACGTCCTTTGTAATCAGCGACTTGGTCCGTGATAAGAATCACAGCCCGTGATTGCAGGTAGCTCAGGTGAGCTCTGCAGCACTTTGACCTGCTGTCTTTCTCTTTGTCATTTTCCTCTGAGTCCCTGTTCAATCCTGCAGCCCGAGCTCAGCAGGGGAGAACTGAGGAGGAACTCTGACTGAATCCTGATTACAGAACCTGCTGTAAATTATAATTACAAAACAGCCCTGCTGGAGCTGTGTGATCAGCAGGGAGACAGTGTGGTGTTTTCACAGCCGACGGGTTCAATCTGAAGGATTCTCCTTCCAGAATTTAATTACTGGAGGCAGGAGACGCTGAAAAAGGCAGAACTGCAGGCTGTAATTTCACACTAGTTAATAGCTGGTTTAAAGGGGATTTTTTTTCTACAAATGCAGCTGATTGATTAGTGCACTAATTACACACTACATCAACCTACAGTGAAGAGTTCTCACCTGGACTGTATTGATTTAAAAAAAAAAAATTCAAAAAAGGGAGAACTCAACCAAGGTCAATTGAAGGGAACAGTGGAAAGAAAAATGATTTGAATTCATATTGTTATTAAGACACCCACAGAGCTTTAAACTGTCTACAATCAAATAGCTGATGTTTGTTGTTAATGTCAACCAAAATGGGTTGGAAATTGTCCAAATGACTCACAAAATGTCCAAAATGGTGCAAAAGTGTCCAAAATGGTCTAAAGTGAATTGAAATGTGTCCAAAATTACTATAAAAGTATGCAGTGACTACAAATTTGTCCAAAATTAGTTTAAAATGTCCAAACTGACTAAAAGAAATTAATATCCAGAATTACTCAAAATTTTTACAAACACATATATGACAAACACCTGTCCAGAATTACTTGAAACTTGTTTGAAATGACTCAAAAATGGTTTCACGATTCATACATTTTCCAAAAATAGTTAAAAAATTTTCCAGAATTACTTACAACACATCCAAAATATTTAAACCTCTGAAAAAAAACGTACATTTTGTCCTAAATGATTTAGAAATCAGAAAAAAGTTATTTGAAACATGGCAACAAAAAAAATGTAAATTTGTCCAAAATGTCTCAGAATGTGTCAGATATGACCCCAGATTTGTCCAAAAGGAGTTAAAATTAGTCCAGGAGGAGTCACAAAATGTCCAAATCAGTTAAAAAGGTTAAAAAATGTCTAAAATTTTGTTGAAAATGCCAAAAATTGTCAGACATAGTTGTGACATAATTTGTGGACAAATAAAATTCAGTGACATGGTGTCTACTTTATGTGTTCTTCAGATTCCTGATGTAACTGAGCAGATTTTGCAGCAATCATTAAGCATCAGTGATTAAAATCGTTCCATCAGCAGATGGACAATTTTGGGTTAATTGACTGATCCATGGTCGACTATTTTTGGCATGCCGAGTATAAAAATGAACTCTGCCACAAAAAACGGACAGAACCTACAGCATCTGCACTGCCTTCACTGCCCATAGGACAACAGCAACACAGCAGACATCTGGACTCTGATGCCCTGTGATCTGTCTGTTGTTGAAGAGGTGCTTCACTCAGTTAACCAGTGAAACTCTTTATTTTTCATGGTTGCCATGGTGACGCCGCCAGCCGTGACGTTAAGTTGGAAAAGCTGAAACATGATTAACTGTCACACTGAGCTGCTGTTTAGACTGACACAATGGAGGCGGCTCTCGCTGTCAGAGCATCTTTGTCATCCGTTGACCTCTGTAGCTGCTGTCAGTCACCGCTAACAAAGCTCAAATACAGAAAACGTAGAAACAGAAGTCAAAGCTTCGGTGTGAGAAACATCGGATGTCGGCAGCGACCATGACAAACGTTTAGAGCTGAAGTCTGAAACCCAAAACCTGCCAGCAGGTTTGAAAGGCATGTTACCTTAAAAAGGAACAACAAAATAACACAGAAACTGTTCAAACAGAAAGAATCGTCACGTTTACAACTTTCTGACAGTCTTTGAACATATCACCTGTGACTTAGAGTTCCATCAGGAAAATAGTCAAATCTGAGCTTAACCATCCTGATGTTTCATCAAAATCATTCCATTCTTCTTTTCGGATTTCAAAATTTGCCAGAAAATGTGTTTGCATTGTGCAGATTTTATATAAAAACTAAAAATTCCTCCCTCCTCAGCGCAACCAATGCAAGACTTTTCAGAGAGTTTTCAGGTGAACTGCAGGCAGTGCTTCCACAGAGCAGAGAGGAAATAACAAGAGACTGACAGGAAATGAAGACCTACTGGATCTATAAAAATAAAAAGGAGCATGGCTTAAAAACAGTACACAGAGGAGCACGAAGTTGAAAGATACATTCAGCATGGTGAAACACCTTTCTACTGCTGATGTGCAGAGTGGAGTGAACAAGTTTGTAAAGGCTGTAAAAAATGGAAGCAGTTAAATATTTGCAGAATGTGGAGACAAAAAGTTCACGACGAGACACGAAGTGACAGAAATGAAATTACTAAGACGGAACAATTGACCAAAACAAGACACAAACTGGCTAAAATGAGACAAAAACATCCAAAACAAGACACAAAACATTAAAAGCAAGACCCAAACCCAAATCGTGACACAAAATGAAACACAAAACAGCAAAAACAAGACGAAAAGACAGACATTTCTGAGTTTTCTGTCCTTCTAGTCATGGTTGTGTTGTCTCTATAGAGGTGCAGGACTTTATATTGCAGTGAAAAATAAACACACAGTGACGGAAAATGTAACAGGAGCAAAAACCACAGAAATTACTGCTCAGTTGAAAAGCTTGTGAGAAACAGGGCTGCAGGTTTTGGGTCTGGGTATCCTTGGATCGTCTGTGATTCATTTGCAATGGAACTGGTCTTTGCTTAAAAAACGAAAATTTACTTTTGTGCATTGACATCTAGATGTTTGGCACATTTGTGTGTTTTTATCCACATTTTTGACACGTTCGTGAATTATGTGTCAGTTTTGGACACTTTCTGCATCAACATCTGGATGTTTGACACTTCTTATGTTATTTTGTAGGTTTATGACACATTTGTGGGTTTATATTCAGATTTTTGACACTTCTGTGTCAATCTTTGACACTTGCTCATTGCCATCCAGGTTTTTGACCATTTTTTCCATTTTAGTTTGGAGGCCAGGTCACGTGGCTTTTTCGTTTCCAAACAAAAACCGTCCACTGATACCCAGACCGTTGTGTTGCGGCGGCCAGACACTTACCACGGCCATCGTTCTGAATATCGGACAGGATCTGCGAGTAGTTGATGGGCGGTTTGTTCTCTTCGAACACTCGGTCCACCAGGCTGATGTTGATGCTCTTCAGTTCCGTGTACAATCCCTCCACAGCGAAGTAGCACGGCCGGTCGTCCACCTTGTTGTCGCTGAACATCAGGATCACGTGTTCCCGCCAACCGAACTGCTCGCAGATCCGCAGGGCAAACCTTCCCAGCTTCTTGTGGGTTGGGCCTGTGTTGGTGATGGATGGGTAGATGTTGCCGTAGAATGCCACGGCCGGAGCGCCCGCTGTAACCATGGGGACGTCCCAGTGGGTGGTGAAGAGGCCAACGGGGGAGGAGGTGTAGGAGCAGCCAGGCCCAATGAAGGCCCAGGGGTCGTAGGCCAGCTTCAGGTCCACGGCCATGAGCGGTGCCACTGACTCGGAGCAGATGCCGTCCTTGTCCTCGCTGTTCTTGAAGGCGTAGGTGAGGTGGTGGTCGGGCAGTAGGGTGGGGTCGGCGTTGACAGTTCTGACGGCCCGCTCCAGGGCGGGGCCGATGCGAGGCCACGCCCACGGATAGTCCGTGTTACTCTGCGGTAAAATGACGGCCAGCATGATGTTCTGCTGCGGCCGGCGCTCGTGGTGCCCTCGAGTTAAACGTCTCAAGCTACGATGTCGAGCCATTCGCCCAGACTCAACCAGAAGCAGCAGAACCAGCAGAGTGATACTGTTCTTCCAACAGGCCATCCTCTGCCCGGCAGCCAAATTATTGATCCTGTGAGCTGCAGACACAAAATGAAGGTGTTAACAAAACATGCAGAGAAAACACTTCCCTGGCCAGTAAATAAACCTCCAAAACTGTTTTTACATCTGTCCAAAATGACTCTGAAGTTTTAGAAACCATTTATTTCAGGTTTCAGGTTGCAGCACGGTGGCTCGGTGGTTAGCACTGTCGCCTTGGAGTTGGAAGATTCTCTGTTCGCATCTCGGTGAGGACACCCGGGATCTTTCTGCGTGGAGTCTCCATGTTCTCCCCGTGCAGCGTGGGTTCTCTCCGGGTTCTCCGGCTTCCTCCCACAGTCCAAAAACATGTTGAGGTTAATTGGTGATTCTAAATTGTCCGTAGGTGTGAATGTGAGTGTGCTTGGTTGTCTGTCTCTAAGTGTAGCCCTGCGATAGACTGGCGACCTGTCCAGGGTGTCCCCTGCCTTCACCCTGAGTCAGCTGGGATAGACTCCAGCCCCCCCCCCGCAACCCTAATGAGTATTAAGCGGTGTATAGATAATGGATGGATGGATGGAGTTCTTATCCAGTTACTCACTGACTAAACAGCACATTGAGGACAGTCAGAGCTGCTGCGGTTCACTTCCCTGAAATCATTTTGTCCACGTCAGTGTTGGAGTCGTGGGAGAAAACCTCCCTGAAGCTCTGCTGCCCACCTCCAGTCTATAAACCTGTTTGATGAAACTGCTCCAGCGTCTCAGATTTAATCTGCCTCTGAGCCTCGCCTGCATTCGCCCGCCGATGACAAGCTTTTTGTCTCCTCACAAAGTGAAGCGTCCGAGAAAATCGTCTTAATTAAAGAGACACATTCGACCTGCAATTTCATGTCTGCAGCCTGTCAGAAGATGAAAAGCTACAGTGGAAGCTGTGAAAGGAGGCTAGGACACGTCACGGAGAGCATGTCTTTTCATCTAAACTGTCAATTTCACTGACACACACACACACACACACACACACAAATTTAAAATTAAATAAATAAAACCACTAAGAAACACTGAACATTCATATATGTTTAAAAAAACAAACAAACGATGAAATACTGTAATGAAAAACAATGGAAAAATTGTGAAATTTGCAGCTAATATCTGTAAAATAAAGATATTTTTAGCCTGTTGCAGTGGAAAAGTATGATTTTACAGTCAAATGTGATAAAAGAACAAATTTGTAAAAATACTGATTTTTGATGTGGACCATATTTACAATTTTAACCTGTTCTGTGTTTTTTACAACTAAATTATAACATTTTTCTCCCTTGATTTATTCTGTATCATCTGTAATTTCACAAAACAGGGGAAAATGTGGAAAAAGAATTTTAAATACAGTAAATAATAGTGTCATTTATGGTCAAACACTGCAAAAGAATTAATTATCTTTTATATAAAAATATATATATATTTAATTTTTTTAATGTGAACATTATTTGCACTTTTGATCAGTCTTTGGTTTTTTGATTTATTTATTTTTTAACTGTCAACATGTAAATTAGTACCTTTTTCTGTGATTTTACTATATTTGATCTCTTATTTATTAAAACAGAACATTTGTAAAACAAAAGGTAAACAGATTTTATAATTGTTCAATCTTCAATATACATATTTTTTCTTTAAAATATGAGCAGATATCAGTAAAATAATATTTTTAGCAGACTTAAACACATTTACAGTTAACAGTCAACATGCCAATCAATAATTTGTGATTTTACAAAATAGTATCCGTTACATAACAAAACACAGAAAATCTATAAAGTAACATTTTGTTTTCAAATATGATTTAATATGTTTTAATCATTAGTATACATGGCTTTTCTGTCAAATAACAAATATCTGTAAGACAGTGTTTTTATTAGATTTAAATCTTTTCTTTGTGTGAATTCACAGTTAAATGTTAAAAAAAAAGATATTTGTTGGGGACATTATTACAGTTCTGCCTTGTTTTCCAAACCTTTCTTTTTGTAGGGATGTGAAAACCACATCTTAACATTTCTAAATTACAGCCCTGCACACACTAAGAAAAGCACATGAAGGGGATTGTGAATGATTAAAAACTAAAATAAATAAATAAATATTATATGAATAGCTGACGTGACAATGTTGCATCAACTTAATATTGTGTGTAATTTGAACTCTACTTTCAGCGTCAGTTAATTCAAAACTAAATGCAAGTTGAGGTCACTTCCTGAGATTGTCTAGATAACTTCATTTTTCTTATCCTTCAGGTCAACATAAATTTAAATTTGTGTGGTTGTTGCTTTCAGGGTTTAAATATTGTGTGTTCAAATACACAACTCCAGTTAAAAAAACTTAAACTTGTGTTTGTGATAACAGTAAATAAGTACACAATACTTCAATTTAAGTAACTTGATTTTTTCTGAGTAATCAATGGAACACTTTGAGTGATTTAGATAAATATTTTATTTCAACTGTTATGAGTTGTGTTGATATCATGTTGCATCAACTGCATAACAGATTGTAGATTAACCTCATTTCTGCATGAGTTGGTTTAAAATTAAATTCAGTTTGTAGTAACTTAATGAAATCAGCCTGATGACTTTAGTTTTCTTCACCTTGGGTTCAGGATCTCTTCTTCCATGAGAGTGACTTCTAGATTTTTTTATTTTTTTTTTAACTGCTAACTTAGATTTTTCATAGCCATTGTACTTCTAGCTGAAATCTACTTTCTAACTAAATATTTCAGTAAATCATAAAAAACACACCTTTGGGGAGGAAAAGCTAATTCCTCCACCTCTATGGAGTTTACTGGTTGAACATAATTTCATTAGAAGTTGTCTGAACTCATAAATATTGATGCAAACTGTTTCAGAAGCGTCTTTATTGTTGACCTAAACATTACTGCTCAGAGTTCAGTCTCTGCTGGCACTAATGAGCCTCCATACTGGGATTAATCTGCTGCTTAAAAGCATCGCTTCCCTCCGGAGAGAAACACGCTGATCAATAATCCTCTCAGATGTAAATCAATACAAAAATCCTGATACCGTGGTTTAGGTCTGCTGTTTACCTCAGCGGGTGTCTGCTTTTCTCTTCATGCTGGGAGAAGCTAAACCAGCTGACCGGCCACAGAAGCACCGGCAGCCCGGGGACAAGCACCGGCAGTCCGGGCAGAGGAAGCGCAGCGCAGTGCGCACGGCTCCGGCTCCCGTTGGTCCGCTCCTTCTCCGAGGAAACGTCTCAAAGCGCCTCGTTACACCGTCAGAGACTCACATGAACCATCAGTCGCTGTGTGACTTCCAGACGCTGCGTCCTGTTGCGTTTTAGAGTTTAATGATTCGTTTTCTTGTCAGTGGAATCAGCCAACTTCTCCCAAACTTAGACTAGACAGACCTGGACGCTCCTCCTGATGTTCTCCAGCCTGCTCCAGACTATAATCCACAGCGTCCACAGAGGAAACACACCGAGCTGGGTGCTCCGCAGGTGGATCGAGTCCTGCAGGTAGAAAATCAGCCCGACAGGTGAACATTCAGCCTGGAGAGAGACTCACTGACTGACTGGGTGGGCGGAGAGCCGGGAGAGAGGGAGGAGAGCCGGGAAGGAAGGAGGGAAGGAAGGAAGGAAGGAGGGAAGGAGGAAGGAAGAGTGGATGGAGAGGCGCAGAGACAGGAAAGAGAGACACTGTAAAAAAAATTTAAAAAACATTCAAAAATTGTGGGAGAAAAAGTTACAGCAAGTAAAATAATGAAGTAGAACAGTGTTATTTCACTCATTTTTAAAAAAAATTTTTTTAATGTAGAAATGATTTATAGCTTTGACTCGTTTTGTTTTTTTGTTTTTTGCTTTGCTTCTTGTTTCTGACAGTCAACATGTAAATTAATGCTATTTCTTTGCTTTTACTACATATTACCTGTAATTTAATCTGTAAAATAACAGCACATTGTTAAAAGCAATCACAGTTAAAAGCTGTAAGAAAAAAAATAAGAAGTCCATCATTAAATTATTCATTATTCACCATTATAAGTTTTTATGGTTTATTTACATTAGAAATGCAATTATTTAATATTGATTTCATTGTGTATTTTTTCTTTTTTCTTTTTTTTAAAGGAAAAATCTGGAAAATAAACAAAATAAAAGCATTTACAGAGCATGCAAACATGTATGTACAGTGTTAAACCTTGTGTGAGGAAGCCAGAGAACCTGGAGAGAATCCACCCTGCGCGGGGAGAACATGCAAACTCCACGCAGAAAGATCCTCTGTGTCCTCATCAGGACGCAAACTGGCGACCTTCTTGCTGTGAGGCAACGGTGCTAACCACCGAGCCACCTTGCAGCCCAAGCTCTGACATCTTGTGGCTAATTCGGAGAACAATCGTGACACATGATCCATCCATCCATTATCTATACACCACTTAATCCTCACTAGGGTCGTGGGGGGCTGGAGTCTATCCCAGCTGACCCAGACACCCTGGACAGGTCACCAGTCACACAGGGCCATACCCAGAGACAGACAACCAAACACGCTCCCATTCACACCTACAGACAATTTAGAATCACCAATTAACCTCAGCATGTTTTTGGAC